CAAACGGCCAGCCATCTTTTCTGCACATTTAAAACACAAAAGTTTTACAAACAATTAACTTTATGAAGCGCACTCAACTAAAATCGCTCTTTTTATTCCCCGACCGAGTCTTTGCAACATATTTGACCTACACGCAATGACAAATATGTTGCTGATTTTGTGCACGACTCGTAGAGAAATACATATGCTTGTACAATAAATATATATATATATATATATATATATATATATGAAATATATGCGCCCAACGTATGAATATAAATTAAATTATATAAGCAAGAATTATGCACACAAATACACTACAAAATTTATAAAGGCACACACACAACTCGCCGTCCATCTTGGAACGCAACGACACAAGGCCCCGCGCACCGCAAAGCATTTTAATAAATCAACACGCCCGTTTAGCGAGTGGACAAGCTCGAAATATCTTAAACGAGAAGCAAAAACACCCTAGATATATATTTACCCAAGATATAGACTGCAAATATTATGAAAATGAAATGAACAAATTTGTTTGTCGCCCAGTTGTGGCTGGCCTGGCGATTCGCAAACTATTTTCGATTTGCGGCCACATACATACTCATATCTGAATGTCTGTCTGTCTGTCTTTCTGTCTTTCTATCTGTCTGTCTGTCTGTCTGTCTGTCTGTGTCTGGTCTCTCAGCGTTGGCTCTCAAACTCTCAGACTGCCCGACGCTCTGGTAGTGTTTCCATTCGTCTGCCAGTCTCCTATGGTCAGCCCAACTTATTTCTATTTGTATTTGACTAAAATAACCATAAACAATAATAAAGCTAAGTGTACCCAGACTGCAAACATTTAGTAACCAAAGAAGGTTAGGGTATTCTTAATTGGGTGTAGTCTGATGTCAATGCGCGAAAAACGCAGTTAACTATCATATTTTTATAGTATTTCAAAGAATGTCTATGCGTGAAATATTGGAAAACTATTCTGCTATAATATAGACGTTTGCTTTCGATATAGAGCATAAAACATTTTCATCGAATCTACATATCGGATTTAAGTCAAACCGATTCTCATACACAGCTTTCATTTATTTTTTCTTAAATCCCAGCCCAACATTTTTTGAAATATGGTTGAGTGCTTTTGTTGAACTCCCAACATTCAAGGCATCAATAACTTAGCCCTCAATCATTTGTTTATCATCTCATGTGTCATACAAGGAAAGAAGTTGGTTTGAACCGTGTACCGAACCATGGACAGTTAATGTTTGACTTTTATCAAAATAAAATTATTTTGATAATTGTTTGGGCTCTTTTTACGAAAAACTGTTTTATCCGCATTTATTATTTCAAATTGGCTTCAAACTAGAGTTAGGGTAAAAAGGGTTTTGCCATGTTTTCACGTTGTTTTGTTTTGCCTGTTGTTGAACAACTTTTATATTGATCTGCGCGTAATATATGATCAGCTTATTTATGTACTTTCATATCGTAAACAACGCGCCCGCACCCTCCGCACATATCCAAGCCTTCCCTATGTAAATTAGATGTTATCTTTATAAGTATACATATGCACATATATGTATATACATATATGTACCTTTGCACGTAGTTTCAATAGTGCCGTTAAGTCAGTCCAGTTGTTGATTTTCCCCAGGTGGTAATTACGCATTTTAAAAATGCATTTTCTGTATGTGTCTCTGTGCTTCATGAAATATGCACGAACCGAGAGCCAGGTAAAAAGGGCAAAGTGAAGGGGGAGGGTGGGGGGGGAGGGAGCGTGGAATGCTGTGCACTCATCTGGCCTTATTTAAAATGCACAAAAGGCAAAAACTGCGCTAAAAACACAAAACACGGACGGGAGCGAGTACAAAACTTGGTAAATGGAAGTTCTTTTTTTTTTTTTTTTTTTGGCCATTTAGCTTTTTGCACAACGCTGGCGACTCAACCACTTTGGTTATTAAAGTTTTATACACATAAATACATACAAATGTGTGTGGCTAAGTTAGTTAGTTGGTGGAGTCTAGTTAGTCAGTTACTTGACAAGCTGTGATAAGCCACAGAAGTCATGTCAAACAAGCACGTCGCAAATTGGACTAACACACATTAAATTGTGATAGGGCTGTGTCGCGGTTGAGTTAAGATAGAGATGGGAAAGTACCCAAGTGTGTCTGGAACTTGTGCCGAAATCATATTTATTTTAAAGCTATCAGTCATCAAAATTACATACTTTCCGAATATGCCTAATATATCTGAAGACAGGTATATTATATAATAAAATAAGTATTATAATATATAAACTATAAATGTAAGCTTGCACTCATTATATTTTACTATCAACTTGAGAACCGGTATAGTATGACATATGTGAGTAAAAAAATATAACAAATATTGATTATAAAATTAATCAATACTCTCTTGAGAGAAAAGGGCGAGAAAGGGATAGAAAGAAAGTGACAGAGAGAAAGAGAGAGCTCTCTCGAGACAGAGTGAGAGAGAGACAGCGACACAGAGTGAGAGAGAGAGAGAGAGCGAGAGGGAGACGAACATAAAATGAATAGAAAATAAAAATATCATCAGCGCAGCTTTTACCTAATTTTCTTAGAAATGTATAAATTAAAAAAAAAAACAAACTCAGTTAATATTAAGAGTATGTCTATGCGCCAAGTAAAATAAAAAAAAACGAGAATTTGTTTATAATTAATTGAAAATAAGTAAATGGAAATTTGAAAATCTCATAAATTAATGAAACTGATTGGATCAGACATGGTTATATTTGATTCTAGATGGTTTGCTGATTTGTTAGACAAGGTCGGCAATAGTTTTGTTTGTTACATAAATAATCTCAATTGGACGGAAACACATGTCCAAAATACTTACATTTTTCCCATTCAGCTATATTTAGCTCTTTGAATTACCTTTCATTTCTTGCACATTCCTGTGCTATTACCAATATTTGAGGCATTGTGAGATTTCAAGGCCAGAAAATCACTTAACAAGTGAAAGTTTTGTTTTGGAAACTATTGTCCATTCCCTGTGCATAAAGTAGTTGATTGTTTTCTGACGCACATAATGTCCCCGACAATGGCTAATGGAGTTTATGTAATAATATATATCCGACTACAAGTACAACAAACTAGAAGAGTTAACAGATCTGTCGCTGCATTCCTCACATATACTTAGTATATATGCCTATGTGTGGTAATATATATCTCTGCTCTTCGGTGTTTGGTGTGTTATATAGCGTGTTGTTTGCCATTGTTGTTATTGTTGTTGTTGTTGTTGTTGTTGTTATTATTGTTGTAGTTGTTGTAGCGTGGGTGCAGGCAACTGCCCGTCGCCGGTTCGGTCACTGACGGCTTTTGTTTCAGCGATAAAAGGCCGCCTGAATATACAAAACATTTGCTGCCTCTTTTTATACCCTGTACCTATTGAAGGTGGGCAAAAAAAAGGGTATAATAGCCTATTGAAAATATATGCAACAGTCAGGAGAATGCATCTAAACATATATATTCTTTAGATATCTGTATGTATATTTATTCCTGATCAGCCATGAGTTCGTCTGGTTGACATATCCGCGCTGGTTACAGCGCAACTTCTAGTCGGGCACTCCCGATTGTGTGTTTTATCTTGTTTTTGTTTCGTTTTCGGTCTTCTCTCTGTTGTTGCTTTTCAGTTATATGATTTTGTGCAAAAAAGATTTAATATAGCACGCTGTTGCCGCCGCTGCTGCCGTCGCCGCTGCTGCTGCCGTCGCCGCTGCTGCTGCTGCTGCCAGCTGCTTACGTCATAGGCACCCACCGGCGGCAGAGTGTGTGTGGTGTGAGTGTGTGCGGGTCTGATAAGGAATAAAACATATTCATATATTGTGTGCTGTGGGAAATGGGAGAGCGTTGGGGGTATTAGCACGTATGAGTATATTTTTATATATACTCGGTTAGATGTCTAATTTGTTTGCAATTATGGGGGCTGAACATTAATTAATGATTCGGCTGCAATTTGTAGTTTATGACTATGACTTAATATCTGACATTGCACTAAATATCTGATATTCCCTGAAAATGAAATATAAATACAATTCTCAGAGACTAATTATAATTTTTGCTCCGTTCTAGTAATTGCGAATTAATCACCCATCGATTTTAAGATTGTAAAATGCGCTCATAACCAGTTATATTTAGTGTTGCTTAATCTGTCAGCTTGGGCAGCAATCTAAAGAGGCCTTTAAGTGCTTTATCAATGTGGTTTTAATATGAGTTGTATTTATTAGTTTCTTTGAGTGGAGCTCAAGAATAACTTACTGTTTGTTGTATAATTTCAAATTACCTCCATTCAAGTCAATGGTATATTAAAGAACTCAAGGAAAGAATATTTAATTTAAACAAAGTAACGGGTGGAAATAATTATGCAAATAGCAACTTAATGCAAGGTCTATTGCAGCTATTGTAGCAAGTGCAACAGAAAAAGTGCTTCTAAGGGAAACACTCTGCTAAAAAAACCCTATGTAGGTATTATCCAAAGAATACATTTTTGGAAATTAGTCATTAAAAAACTTTTGATAAGCAAATTATTGAAGTTACCAAAGATTTTAACGAAAGTTATTTATTAAACATATCTTTTTGTTATTTTTCAACTAAATATTATGACCCTGACCTCTTTACATTTCGTCTTGGAAATTATAGCAGTCGGTCTGTTGCGCGTCCACAAATCATCTAAGCTCATCAAAGACCCATCAAAATCTGAGTCAGACTTTAGCTTTTTATGGTTATTGAGAGCTCGTCTGAGTTACGGCTTTTTTTTATCTAGTCGAAGACTGAGGTTAAAAAACTCAAATAGGAAGTGTCCGGCGGACAAGCTTGGCCGCAGTCAAGGCTGTCCAAAATGTTGATTGGTAGAAAAATAAAAGCTTATACATAACAAGAAACAGAAAATCAGTAAATGATTTATGCATATAAGGTTAAATTAATTTAAGTTTCAGTCTTTAAGTGTGGCTATAAGAAAATGTTTTAAACTAATTAATTATTTTATATTTCTTGCAGTGCATACACGAAATATGTCATCAGCGTAAAACCTAAAACGGAACTTTTACTCTCCCAAAACTGGTGAACGTACTTTTAAAACCAGAACCAGAACCTCAACTAAAACAACAACTAGAATGTTCATAATTAAAAAAATATATTTCAACTAATGTTATTACATACAGCAGCTAAAATAACTGGGAGTTAGAAAGGGAGTGTAACCAAGAACAAGAAAAAATACAACAAGAACAACAACACAACAACAACAATGTAATAGGTAACTAAAATTTATGGCATATACATAAATAATCATTCATAACATATAGCATATAGTATAACCACGAGACTACAGATATTTAGTTGTAAAGTACATAGTTTAGTTCAACAGAAAAAAAGAAAAGCAAGACAAAAATCTAAAGCAGCAAGCACAGATTACCAAATGCGTCTAGAAAATCATACAAAGACGAAAACAAGAACTTCGGTAAATGGGCTAAAGAATTTGTTTTAATTATCAGCTGGCAGCAACAACAACAACAACAACACATTGTGAAAGTATGAAACGCTTTATTAATTTATAAATTTAACAAAAGTAAAATGTAAAAAAAAAAAACAAAAAATTATGGCGCACTTAGTGTGCTTGAAAAAAAAAACCCAACTAAATATATAAAAGAAACAAGAAAAGCGAATTACAGACAGAAACATACAGCTAATTAAAGTCGCCGCGAAAAAAATTTCCGTAGGTAAAGTTCTACATTATCGTATTCTTAAAAATGTGGAAATAAACAAAAGCGTCTTTCAAGAATTTAGCAGGTCGCAAAACTGGAGCGTGTAAAATTAATACAAATAAAAGTTCTCATAAGCCGTTAAAAGATTTCAGTCAATGTTGGTTAACTAGCCATAACAGTGTTGCGCAACTTCCATAATAACCACAAAAGTGTTGTCAAATGTTTAAGGCATTTTTGTTGCGTACACAGTGCTGTCTAGTGAAGTCAAATACATACATATTAGTGTTGCAAAAGCCGCCAAAAACTTTCCAAGAGCTGTAATTCTTATGTGCCCACGACACCAAATAGTCCCCCGCTACTAGCTGAGCTTGCGTTTAGCTCTCGATGTTTTAGGCGTTTTAGACATACGATACATATGTACTATAAATGTTGTACAATCAGCGACGACGTGCAACAATAAACACACACACACACACACACACACACACAAACAATCACACACTCACATACGAGTCCACAACAAAAACAAATGGCAAATACTGTTGATAGTAAGAGCCGAAAGTTAATCAACATCCAATAGACAGGCACACGCTCATTAACATTGGCACCTAAAAGTAAGCGCACTCACCGAATACATTAATATACAACCATATTCACATACAAATAAAACAGTCAGGCGTATATATGTATATCCACGTATCACTCGCAGGATCTAGGGCCAAATGCGCCAGAACCACATCAACTACTCAAATTCTAAAATTAATATTAACATGAAGAACATACAAAATATTTAAAACAAAAAATGAAAATTAAAATAAAACAAAAAACGCAGCAAAAAAAATAAATAAGAAATCTAAATGTTTACACTTAAGACGCAAAAATAAAAAATATAATTAAAACATAAAAAACCAACTGAAATTTGTGTGTATAAAAGCGTAAAATCGTAGAATTAATGAAAAAGGGGCATCAAAAAGTCGACATAAATATTAAATATTAAATATTATACACTAACATCAATATAATACCAACAAAATGTGCAAGAGCGAAAAAGAGAGACACGAGAGAAAAGGGAGAAGCGCCAACTAAGTTTAATAATTTAAAAGAAAGAGAATAAAGGAAAACGTTATATACATATATAATCGAGTAAAGATCGTTTACATATTTATTGTTTTACACTTCTTTTACAATATTCTTCGGCATACAGAAGTTAAAAAATGTCCGAGGGGCTTACTACGTATAGCTGCGAAGCCTTTTGATTATGCGCTAAAGGATTTAATAAATAATTTAACTTATAATTTTAATTGCTGTACTTTTTGTTAATTTATTTCTAAACTCCAAGTCTTTCAATTTATTTGTGAAAAACAAACACGAAATCTTAACAAAAAAATAAAACCTATTTATAATAAAATGTACAACGTATGTTTTAAACTTTTAAAAAAAATCGATTAATTTTTCTACTAGTTGCGTCAAAAAGTCATAAATAGGCATCAACTAAAATAAAATAAAGTTAAAGAAACTTCGGAAAATCGGAAACGTAGCCCTCATCCAAATCGTAGGGCCCAAAACGTGGCCAATAAATGTTAACACCTCACATCACATTGTTTCTTCATGTTTAATTTAATATTTGTTATAAACAAGAAATATAATCCACAAAAATTTTTTATTCGACAACACACACACACATACACACACAAGCAGACAAACACCCGCGACAAAAGAAAATAGGCGCATTAATAAATAATTTAACAACAAAAGGCAAAACAAAATACAGACATGCATATAAATAGTCTTTAGTAGTCTGAGCAAACAATTTAATACATAATAAAAAAATATACATTAATAAATATATTGAATATATAAAACTAAATATATGTATATATACATACATATATATATATATATATATATACACATACATGTACATGTATGTGCATATGCATTGAAAAAAGTCAAAAATTTGTTATTATTTCTTTTTTTTTTGTAAATTTCTTAATAATTTTTTGTGCAATTTTGTTTATTATTTGTTTAGTTAACATTTTGTGTAACTTATTTAGCGATGCTCTACAAATCAAATAACTGAGCTTTAATGTTTGACCAACAATTCGTATGTTATGCTGTTTGTATGTATACAAAATATTATGTTATATACATATATAATTTGATATAACTTCCAAGAGGATCTTTTAAGCAAACAATCTGCGGCAAAACGCATTGCGAAATAATTGTATAACAAATCTATAGTTTGTAATTAAAAAACAAGAAGAAAAATCATTTTTGTCGAAAAAATTGTGAAAGAATTTGAAATTGAGAAAGAATAACCCTTTTGTTGTTGTTTATTGTGTGTGCGTGCTAAATTCGAGGTACATAAATTAATAATTATAAATCTAATATGAAATACATATTAAAAAACAAAACAACAAAAAAAAAGAAAAGAAAACAAATTCAAATTATTTAATTTAGTTTTTAAATTTAAGTTTATATAGAAAGTGCGTATATATACACATACAACTATAAATTTCAATACCAACAAGAAGCAAGATAAAATGTCTTAAAACAAAAACCAAGCATACAATAAAATGAATAACAAGAAAATACGAGCAAGTAAACCAATTATAAGTAATAATGAAGGAAAGGAAATAAGAAGAGGAAACAAACACAAAGAAAAAGATAAGCAAAAACAAAACAAACAAACAAACAAACAAAAAAAAAACCAATAAAATGAATTTGAAATCCTTAAAAAATATATATGAGAAATATGTGTGTTGTCATTGGGGAGGAGGACCATTTCATCGGCTTATAATATTTTATTTATCGAAATTTCGTTGGGGAAACAACAAAGGAAACGCCTTTAGCTTTTCAACTTTCCCGGCATTCCACAGAAATTTACATATGGCAGTTTTGGATACGGCTGTGGCATGGTCAAGTACTTGTCCCTGATGTGAAAACTTCTGCAAATAATTATTAAACATGATGGAGGTTTTTTGTATATGGAATATGGAACACGCGCGCAACATGCAGCATAATTTAATTTCTAGGCCTCTTACTTTTCTTACCGTCACAAGCTGTTGTCACGGCAGTAAGTATTCGTATTATGGAAAAGCGCGCACTCTCGACTTTTAATATACTTATATATATTTGTATGCTTACTATAGGCACAGGTAAGTAAATGGCATAGATATTGCGGCACACAAATATTGTCAAACGTGGCAGCTAAAAACACCTGCCCTTGCACACACGTAATATGATTATAGTATATAAAGTGGAAAATGCGCCAGCTTACCGCACAATTGTTTAGCTAAGCCCATTCCCACCGAAAAAAATACTTTTTCCATATTATTATTATTGCTTGTAGGTTATATAAAAGTAATTTCCGTTTTAAGTCTCGCTTTATTTTGTAAAAATAGCTTTTTTTCACGTGCATATTGTTTATAAATAAGTCAGGCAAATGTTGGAAACTATAAATGTTCAACAACAGGTTTATATCTGGATAAAAATCGGCTTGATATCGGCTTTAAATAGAGCTGCTTTCTAAATTGACTCATTTTAAAATCTTTCGGTAGGATCTTTAAGGATTCTAATTGCATTTTGTAAAACATCCAATATATTAAAATCTTGAGCTTGATATTCTCAGTAAAAGTAGTATGAAAACGATAATCAGGTAAAACATAAAGAAGATTTTTTTTTCTTTAATTCATGTTTATTAATTCTCAACAATTTAAAGCTTCAGAAGAGTAGGAAAGTATATACAAACCTGTAGTTGATTGTCGTCTGATAATAATGGGACCGAACGAGTTTTTACGTTTTTCCGATCCGAGTTTTTCCCTTGAAATTTTGGAATTCAATTTTCCAGTTGATTCTATCTTGCCCAGTCCGTCCTATTTTGAACTCCACTTCTAATGTTTTTATCTACATAGATATTTAAAATGAGCTTGAAGTTCATCGAATGAAGAACCAAAAGTTGGAATCAACGTGTTCCGCCCATTTTAAAGTCGGGGTAAGAAGCTTGAACATGAAAGTTTTCGTTTGCACAAACTAGAATCGCATTTTCTATCTAAGAGAACCGCTTCAAATTGCGATTTGGGCTGTGCGATGTTTACCGTCAGTCAGATTGGTTTATAGTTACCTTTATTTTGTTTACCACCATATTGAGGTTTATATGAAATTCATATGTATATGTTATAATGTCCTAGATGCCAATGGCTAAGAGAGAGAGTGATTAGCCTTAATAGAAGCTAAGCTCAGATTTTGTTTTTGCGTTAAATTATTTTTGTAATCGGTATGTCAGTTATGATTTTTTAAATCATCTTGTGGCTGGGGCTTATAGAAACTTACCGAGTTGTATATAGAGATAAACAGAAGACTTTGCCTTCGGCTAGACAAATAAATATGACTGTTACCAGGCTTTACTTAATTCGTTTTTTATTATTTTTTGAGTAGATTTAAATAATCTGTACTGTTTACTCATACGCTGGTGAAACCCTTTTTATATATATCTTTTTAAGAATTATTACTGCAACATTTGTAGAACGTGGTATCTAAGCCAAAGTGCGCACCATAATTCTAAGCTAAACCCAAAGAACTAACTTACGGAACTTACGAAGCCGACCAACCCACAAGAACTCCCCAACTCCCTTTCATTTGCCGTAGGTTGGCTGCCAAACTTTTGCATAATTTTTGCTGGCTTTTTACATATACGAATAGCTTTGACACACTTGCCGTTGGATTTGCTTTATAAACATACTAAAAAAGAGACAAAAAGTAAAAGAATATAAAAATGGAAGAAGTAAAAAGTAAAGCGAAAAGCGGTTTTTACTTTGTTTCCTTGATTTTCCCTGCAGACAAAAGTTACACAGGTTGGCGTGTACACACGACACAGGCACAAAATATATACACACGATGCATATACCTATATGGCATGTGAGGTTAGGGCGAGGCTTGTGGGTCGAGCAAAGTACGGAGCATGTCTAAGGTTATTTATAGCAACACTTTTTGGGCATACATTTTAATATTGTGCTGCCTCGTTTGTTTGGTTGCCACTTTTGTTGCCAACATGGCCAGGACATGCGACAGCCCAAACAGCTAAGCGGATATATGATTCGGGCCCGTACATATATCACCCCAGCTAACGGTATGTTGTAGCATACCCATTATTGAAAGATATAGGTGAGGAGTGGACACTGGCTCTTACAAATTGTTTAAAGCTGATTATTAGCCATTCTTACAGACCTTTTGGCAGGTAATGCATAAGCTCGCTCACAGAGGGATATATATAAGGTATATTGGTTTTAAACAGTGTCAGCCCTGCTATCCGTTTGTCCGTCCGTATTGAAGTTCTGATAAATACATTTTCGATTATAAGCACCTATTTTTACATTATCTTAGAATAAAGAACTTTAATTGAATACTGCTAATGAGCGCCTTTGAAGGTGGGACCAAGAAAATCGATATTTCTTAACAAATTTGACGGTTCGTGGTATGACTCTGTCGGATATACCCGACTGCAACATTTTTACTTCTTTAGATACATTTTTTTTGCGTTGAGCTGGACGACAACCTCTATGTATGTAGCCTGTTATGCAGATTCGGCTTGCAGTGGAAAAAACTTAATAATGTGTCTCTGTCTCACCAATTAGGCACCCAGCCAGGCCCAGCCCAGTTTTTGTAGTGGAAAATTTGTATGCATGTGGACTTGCTAAGGAGTGGCAACAATATGTGCAACAATAATTAAAGGAAAATTTAAAGTCGGTGAGTGAATATACATTAGTTCATACTGGCTGTGTCTGTGGAAATTTCATTTAATTAATGCTGATGCTTACGCATCCAGAGGCCTAGGCTTTTATTGGGTGAAACAGGCAAAAACATAAACGTTATTTATTGCTCATAATAACGAGCCAAACATCAGCTATGCTATATTAAAAACAAACATAACAGCAGATGGCCCGACTCGAAGAGCACCCAAAACTTATACCTAATCCATAAGGATTTATAAGAATCATGTATACACATATAATAATTATATATTGCGGAAACATAAACAACTGGCATTATGGCAACATATACGTTTATTGACTAGCTTGGCGGCCAGCAAAATAAGCAAACCAAATATCATTTCTGCTACTACAAATGCCAAATTCACATGTGTATTTTTGATAATTTAATATTTTTCGCATCATTTATAAATAAGAAAATTGTCTGCATTGGGCATGATTTACATGCCACATTGAGAGGCACTCTTTGGTGGGGGCAAATTTTAAGAAAATTAAAATTTTTAAATATATTGCTTGACTTAATGCGGAATTTTTATTTATAATTCATATTTTCATAAGCCATTGGCACCTGTGTAAACATTTAAGGTGCCATGTTCAGTCTATTTAAAGTAGCAATTAAAACAAATTGAAAAAATGCTCTTGAAGAAATATATATTTAAATTTATGGTGATGTGGAAAAGGAAAAGGAATAGGGATAGACCGTGTCTAATGGTGCAGCACTCGGATAAACTACAATTTACATTTTGTTTTCTTATACTCAATATATATTAAATCTATATAGAGCATGGCTGCGGGAATAGTGTGAGCAAATTATATATTAGTTAATATTTAAAAGTTCGTATAAGTATTTCGAGTTTGTGTCACAAAATAAAACATGACACTTGCCCAACTCTGAATAATAGACGTGGGCGTGTATTTCGACGTGTTTGTGTCAAAAAATCAAAAAACCACCTTGCGTCAGCAAAACAAAAAAAAAGCAATAAATATTTTTATTCAATTAATATTTTGTCAGTTAAGGAAATTTAGCATCATTTTAAAGAGGATAGCGACGATTGCTGATATTGATTGATATTCATATAATTGCAAGTTGAATAACGTAATGCTAAGAATTTAACTGGGTTGTCACATTGATACGTTCTACATTTAATGAAATTTTAATTATAAAATAATGATTTCCACCAAACCTATATAATTATATGGATGCATTTCGCACATGTCACGAATTGAACAGGCAATTATTGGACTATTTTCACTGTCAGTTACAATCGAGCTGTTGTTCACTGGGCTTCACACGTCGTTTCGTAACTCAATAGCTAATTTAAATATAAACTAGAGTAGGTTAATCAAAAGTGTTCGACTCAAAGATGCCCTGCAGATATAGTTGTAAAACGTGCTTATAACTCACAAACAAACAAAGCTCTTTTTTCTCCCAAGTTTATTGTCTTTTAGAATTGTTGATCCGCTTTGGTATAAAACTTTAGTCTGTGAGTGTTATATATAGTTTTGTGAATCTGTGAATACCCAAGTTGAAGCATTCCCTGTTTCCTGGGTATACAACATTACCTATAAATAAACTGGTTCATTTGAGTTAATTATTAACATGTCATTGTTAGCCATGGAATTGATAAACGAAATAATTTGTTCTCTGCTCTGATTCTGATTCTGTTCGCAGTTCTCTGTGCGTGAGCGTAAGTGTGTTGTGTTTTTTCAGTGCATGTGCAGCTAAAAGCTGTCAATGCTCATTTTCATTTGGCATGATGCACCGCCAACAGCTGCCCAGAGAGTGGGCCAAAAAACCTGCACGGCGTGCCCCTGTTCCCGGGG